GAGTTCCCGGGGGGCTCGGGCGGCCCCCGCGCGCGGCCGGAGGGTGGGCGGCGAGGGGCAGAGCAGGTCCAGGGCTCTTTGCATCCCCCCACCTTTCCACGGAGGAATTGTTAAATATTGAGATCGGTAAGACCTTGCTGTTGCCTCCGTACTGATTCTGGTGAAGTTCTCGAGCTCTGCATCATCTCCCTTTAAAAAAAAAAAAAGAGGGAGAGGTGGGAGTTCATGCTCAAGTATGTTTTCTAGGTGAAAATGAGGAGAAATCTAGCTTTTAGTTCTTTACATTTTCTTACATTTTTTATGGCCAACTAACAGCCAAAACTCAGTTTATATTTTCTTGCTTGCCAGAGCACCTGCATTTCTGCTTCCTGCTGAGCCAGTGGGTCGGGAGGTAGGGGCAGCTTGTTTTTAAACTAAAACTCCACAGTGCTGTGGCCAGAAATAACAAGGCCTTTTTAAAAACTCTCTGCTTTCCCCTCTCCCCCTTCTTAGCAGCTTTCAGAGGGCTCCTGCCCTTAGCCCTTCATCAGACCCATCACAGCTTTAAAAATCTTTTTGCCTGCCCCCAGGCCGTGGTTGGTCGAACCTGCCAGGGAGCTCTTGGCTTCGACAGTAATTATTGATTTTTTTTTACTTTGCACGTGGTGGGCCTCATTTTTGTTGCCATGTGAGCGTTCTCTTGGTTCTTAGGCTGGCACCAGGGTTGGAAATGCTGGTCATCGTTGGGGGCTGAGATGAGAGGAGAGACCTGAGCAGAAGAATGCCGGGCACAGGGAGGTGTTGCATCAGGACTTGGCAGCTGCTGCCAGTTTGCGAGACCAGTTGTGAAGTGCTGCAAAGAAAGCTCTTTTCCACTATTTCCTCTATTTTATAGGGTTTCCCCGGGGACAGACTGCAGGGAAGGTGCTGCACTTGGTGGGGAGGCATGTTTTGCCCCAAAATTAAGAGTTTGTTTGCAGGAATCTGGAGGGAAAGTAGCAGGAGTCAGATGACTCCTGCTCAGCCATTGCCTTTGCAGCAAAGAGCCTTCTTCTGCTCCCCAGAACTCATAGCATGTGTCCTGCGAGCCACACTCACCTGCTAAAACTGTAGAAATAGCTGAAGGAATTAAGGAAAATCCCAAAGTAGGCCAGAGCTTAATTCCCTCTGCTAATCCCTGAGAGGGGCTGCTGTGCCCCCCTCACAGCATCCCCTGCACCCATGCTCGGGGTCAGGAGCCCAGCCCACACGTGTGATGGACCCGAAAGTGCCAGTGTGAACACGTGCAGTGCTTGTCTTGAGAGATCTTTATCACCAGATATGATGCTGAGGCCACAGAAACCCTCAATTTATGGCAATTTCCTAGAGAGTTTGTGCAAGGGGGGACAGGGGCTGCAAACCCTCGCGTAGGGGCTGTGGGGATGCTGGGGATGGTGTGTCCATAAGAGCTTTACCCAGAGGGGAAAGGAACTTTCCTCCTTGCTGTTCTCCCCTAGCCTTCAGTGACAGGACAGGTTGGTGGTGGGTTGAGCTGCACCGTTGAATGATGAAGCTCAATTCTGGATAACTTTACACCTGCCTCGAGGCCTGGGAGAGCTCATTTCCATCCCCAAATATGCTCAGGTTTGCCCCAGCCTACCCAGGCCAGCAGCAGCATTTTTGTCCATTCAGCGCAGAAGGAATCCGAGGTCTTGCAGGCCTGATTAATAATGTGTTGAAGCCACAGTGGCTGAGCACTCTCCAAACCCCTCCTGAGCTGTGCTCTGCTCCTCACCCGGGTGTGTTGCTGCATGAAGGGTCTTGAACAAGGGTGGGAGAAGCAGCGGCGTTCACAGGGTTTGCACCTGCGGAAAGGAAGCAGTCCCAGAACTGGGTGGGATTGTGCTGGCACATGGGCAGTGTCCCAGCGGGAGCTGGGGCTGAACTCCAGCCTCGCTCCAGCCAGTTGCTGTAAACATATTGGGGTTTCCAGTGTGATGGTGCAGCTGTGGGAGCCGTTGGGCTCCTTGCAGGGGCACTTCTCCACAGGCAAGTGTGTGCAGACACTGTGAGTGTGGGTGTGTGTGTGCACAGGAAGGAAGGGCAGCTTGCGGTGGAGTGCTGCGCGCCCAGCGATGTCGGGTAGTTTTGTTCCCAGCGCAGGCACACGCCAGCCCTGCTCTTGGAAAAGGATTTATCCTCTCAGTGCCATTGCATCCTCCCTGGCTGAGCAGAGGGAGCTGCTCCCTGTCTCTGCGGATCCAGGCTGGGATGTGGGGTGTGTGCCTTCAGTGTGGCTGTGCGTGGCTGGAGCGGGAGGTGAGAGCCACCGAGCGCTGTCCTGGTGCTTTTCAGCACCTCTGTTCACAGGTGATGGGGATCATGACAGTGGCTCCCCACTGTCATTTTTTCCCCCTCCAGTCTCTGTTTAAGAGCCTGGGAGTGTTTCCCACCTCTGCTCAGTCCAGTCACCCCACTGTCGGCCGGGCTGGGGCTTTCCTCCCAGTTTGTCCAGTGACGGCTCTGCGAGCGGAGGAGCTGTGGGTCACAGTGTGCCAAGGTGGACAGAGGGGCTTGGGGTTCCCATCATGGAACCCCATGGTTTTGCATGTGCAAACCTCCCAGGGCTTTTTAGGGATGCTGTGAGAGGTGTGAAGGATGGGGACGAGGGCCCACATTGGAAAAAGAGAACAGGATGCAATTCCTGAAGTTTCAGTCCATCCTTCAGGACATCCTGAAGGATGTCCAGGGTGTTCCCAACCCTTTCCAGTCCTGTGCAGACCCCAGAGCTGCACCAATCCCAAAAGGTGCAGCTGTAGCAACAGTGCACAGGGCTGCAGCCCTGGTGTGTGAGCACAGGGCGGAGTCCTGCTGATCCCATCAGTCCAGAGGGTGGAAAAGAGAAAGAAAATCTGGTTGAGCAAGAACCATCTCCAGCTGCAGCAGCCCAATGTGGCCTCCGGCTCCTCTCCTGCTGGGAGGAAATTTCCAGCCCTGCACAGAGGAGTAGGGATGCTGTACCCTCTCCTCCAGGCCCTCTCTTGAACCCTTGGCCAACTGCATCCGCAGATCCTGGTGCAGTGGGGCGGTGTCAGTCTGGGATGCTCATTTAGTCGTCATCTGGGAGGTAGAGGCAAGGAGAGCGCTGCCTGTCTGGCATCACAAGCTGGAGATGCTGGTGATGCTCGTAGACAGCCTTGCTTTGAGCTTACCAGCACGTGGGAAATTTGGGAGCTTCCAAACACCCTTTGTTTTGTGGAATTTGAACAAAAATTAGCTGTTGGTGAGACTCGTGGAGTGAAACACGAGTTTCTGCAGATGGTGCATCTCCAGATCTCCATTGTCTGCTCCCATTCCAGACAAAACTTTTTCTTAGTTTCTTATAAATCTTTTCTATTTTCATGCTTCCATCTTTCTGTGCCCCCTGGCAGACAGCCGCTGCTGCCAGGCTGGGCCATGGTTGTACCAAACACGTGGCTCGGGGTGGCTTATCAGCTTTTCTAGATCAGAGCAAGTCCTGTTTTCTCTGAGAGGTTTGAAACAGCTCTTTTAAAAAAAAAGTTCCTGATGTGCGAAGAAAAGTAACTAATGTGAAAAAATCCTTAATTTTTGCCTGTTTCTAAATGATTCTGAAAGGTTTTCATTTGGGAATGATGCCCCGTTCTCTGCCAAACCCAAACTCTGCCTCAGTGCTGTGGCTGCAGGGAGGTCACAGGGCATAGTGGGTATGGGGGTGGCACCACAGAGGTGTGCTGGGGCAGGGCTGGAGGTTGTTCACCTTCTCACCACCCCTTGTGCTTGGCCAGGTGCTGTCTCACAACCTGTACACGGTGCTGTGCATCCCCCACGATCCCGTGGCACTGGAAGAGCATTTCCGTGATGACGATGATGGGCCAGTGTCCAGCCAGGGCTACATGCCATACCTGAACAAGTACATCCTGGATAAGGTGAGCCCCTTAGCCTTGGAAGGGGGGACACAGTGGTGCCTGGGCTGCTCCTGCATCACACGGGAGCCCAATGGCTCTGCTCCCCACAGCCCGCAGGAGGTCACATGCCTTGATGGGTGGAAAAAGGGTGCAGAGAGATGGGGAGCACTCAGGTGAATACCAAAACAAGTGAGAAACGTTTAATTCTCAATGTCTCCTTGGCAAGGATGAAGTCAACCCTTTCCATCAAGGCTCTGGATGCAGCAGTATCTCTGCCCATGTTTCCTGCAGGGCGCAGAGAGAGAAACTGGCCACTTTTTCCTCTCTAACTCTGTTCAAATTTGAGGTGTGACGTCATTTGGCAAAGAGGAGAGGGAGGAGGATGAGGTGCCAGGACAGGAGCAGAGTTGGGGTGGGCAGGGGCTTTCTCCCTTTTTTCCATAATTCAAATGCACCTTTGTCTAGTACAGCCACCACTTTGTCCATGGGTGCTGTTTCCTCCAGGCATGCAGGACTGGCAGCTTTCTTCCACTGTGTGCTCACAGAAGGGGGCCAGAGCTGGGTGCAGTAACCCTTTGTTCCCCTGGCTCTCCTGGCAGTTCTCTATGGGTCTCCATGCCCATCTTTGCCTAGCCTGGAGCTGGTCAGGAGCTGCCCAGTCTGGTCCAGCAAAGCTAATCTTGGCTGCAGGGATCTGGTCTGCAGTGAGTGAGGGCAGAGGCTTCCCCAGCTCCCTCTGCCCAGGGCAAGAGCTGCCCAAGGTCAGCCAGCCCAATCTCCCCATCACAAAGTGGCCAAAATCCTTCTAGTTTCCTTTCTAGTTCTTTGGGAGATGATCTTTAAACCCCTTTTTCTGATTGACCATGGTTAATAAAATCCCAGAAGCAGCCTGAGAAGGGGAAGTGGGTTTTCCTAGTAAGAGAGGCTTTTAGCTTTTGCCACCCACCCGAAGGTTTTCCTCCAGCTCTACTGCCGCAGGCTGCAGTTTCCTCCTGTGCTGGCAGCATGTGGCTCCTACAGCTGGGATGGAGCACCCAGGGACAGCCAAGGCTCCTCACACATCACAGTTCACCCATCTTCACCAAACCTGCTGTGTGAGGCTGCTTGCAGTGCCAGGACATGGTTACAGAAGCTCACAGACAGCAGTGGGGCCGAGGCTGGTGGAGGCATCGTTCCTGCCTCCACTGCTGCCTGCCCCCAGGCCAGCACTTCCCTTCGCTCCCCAGTTCCTCTTTATGGTGGAATGGGATAAAAAGAGACCTGAAGCTGTGGAGGCACTGGGGAGGTTGAAGAGCACCACACTGCTACATGTGCTGCACCACAGGTTTTCTGCTGGTGCTCCAAATCACCCTGTGCTTCTCACTGGCAGGGACAAGAGATTTTAGGAGTGAGAGTTTCTTCCTGCTAGCACTTCCCCCTCAGAACCCCTCTCCGTAGCCCTGCAGCTCCCTGCTCACCCTCAACTCCTGCCCACAGGTGGAGGAAGGTGCTTTTGTCAAAGAAAACTTCGATGAGCTCTGCTGGACCCTCACAGCGAAGAAGAACTACAAACCTGACCGGAACGGGAATAGCGTTGTATCCCACCAAGATGCTTTCAAGCTCTGGTGTCTCTTCAACTTTCTGTCTGAAGACAAATACCCTCTTGTCATGGTGCCAGATGAGGTAGGACTGCCTCTCCCCCCATCCCTGTCCTCCCAGGGCTCTGTGCTCTGGCAGAGCCCTCTTTGGGGGTAACACATCCTGCTATCGCTTCCTGGCACGTCCCACCACATCCTGCAAGATGTGGTGCTCCAGGGGGTGAGAGAGAGCAGGAAAGAGGTGGGAGGAGGGGGGCCTGCTATGCCCACAGCCACCCCCTCTGCCCACAGAGGAGGGAGTGACTTGGGAGCATCTGGGAGGACCCCTCCAAAATGCTGGAGCCTGTCTCCAGTGGGCAGTGGCAGAGCAGAGCTGTCTGTCCCTCTCTGTGGCCGCTGCCACCGGGCGCTCAGCCCCTGCCCAGAATCTGGAGCGTTAAGGGCGAGGTACCAGCCAAAGCAAAGCCTCTGGCAGTAATCTCCAAATCTCCAAATTCCACAGAATTTAGTGGGGGAGGTTCTCCCTTCTCCAGGGTCAGATGAAAGCCCCATGAGAAGGGGGGCAGATCTAGGGAGGAGGCACAAGCATAGAAGCCAAGAACAAGCATCAGCAGAAGGAACTTAGCTGGGCAAGCAACTGCTGTTGGCTTCTACCCCATCAACATCCTGAGATCAGCAGAAAAGTAAAAAAAAACTCCAAAAAACAAGACACAAAAAAAAAGGCAAGAAGGGCCGTGCTGCGCAGACGTAGGAGGGCAACCACACTTCCTGCACCCTGCAAGAGGTGTTTCCTGTTCCCCAGACCATGACAAACTGAACCATCCTTCTGCTTACGGGGCTGAGCAAGCGCATTCACTGCTTGCCCTTCTCCTAGTTAAATGACATTAAAAATCCAGCTGGGGGGGGGACCCTGCTGTGTGTCACCTTCCTGTGTGGCTCCCTGCAGTCACCCACCTGCCTCAATCCCCAGATCGTGGGCAGAGGAGAGCTGGCAGCAAAACTTAAGCTGAAATAAGTCTTCCCCACATCATGTCAACCATCCTGGCTCTTTTTAGAAACACTTTACTTGCAGTTTCAAAACGATGCTCCTTTGGGTCCTGTTCCCTTGCTCTTCCCAGTGATTTTGGAAATCAAAGTGGTGCTGAGCTCAGGGCTGTGCTCTGAGACACCGACCTTGCAGGCTGTGTGTGGGGTCCAGCAGTGCTGGCCTGTTCTCCCTCAGGCTCTTGGCTGCTGCAGAGTTTTCTTACTCTGCAGACAAACCAGCCAAAACATCTCAGCCTTGGGGTTAAAAAGGAAAAACCTCCCAACAGTGGTCAAGCTCTAACCCAGTGCCAACCTCCTGAGCCAGCCTGCTGCCTAGAATGCCTTGGCCATGACCTCAGCCATTGCAACCTCTGGGATCAGGGTCCTGCATCTCCAAGCTGGAAAGAGAGGCGGTCTTGGGCTCTCCAAAAGGGGTCGGTGGGGTGGGAACAGCTCTCGCTTCCCCACATCCCTGAGTTTCCCCATCCCCACAGGTGGAGTACCTGCTGAAGAAGATCTGTACAGCCATGAACGTGGAGCTGAACTCCTGTGAGCTGGATGACTACCTGTCCCAGGAGCCGCAGGGGCAAGAGGGGCTGACGGTCTGGCAGTTCCTAGACATGGTGAACTCAGGGCGGTTCCTGCGAGGCATCGAGCAGGAGGCCATCAGCATGGCCGTGGAGGAGGTGTACCAGGAGGTCATCGAGGATGTGCTCAAACAGGCAAGGAGCCCACATGTCCTGGGGCACGAGCCCTGTCCTGCCCCCATCCCCAGTTTTGATCTCTGTCTCTCGTGTACAGGGATACCTCTGGAAGAGGGGCCAGCTGAGGAGGAACTGGTCAGAGCGGTGGTTCATGCTGAAGCCCAGTGTCCTGTCCTACTACATGAGTGAGGAACGGAAGGAGAAAAAGGGGAGCATTGTGTTGGACAAGCACTGCTGTGTGGAGGTACAGCCAGGGCCACTCGTCAGCCTGGGGACAGGAGACCTGGGAGATCCCCTTCAGACCCCAGGAAGGCAGACCCAAGAACACACAATTTTACATCCAGGAGCACTGGAGCCAGGGGGATGAGGTGGGGTACGAGGGTAACACCATCCTGTGTCCTCACCCTGCAGGTGCTGCCTGACCGGGATGGGAAGAGGTGCATGTTCTGTGTGAAGACCTCCTCCCGCACCTACGAGATGAGCGCCTCCGACACCCGGCAGCGCCAGGAGTGGACGCTCGGTCTGTGCCCACCCCACACCCCTTCCCCAGCTTCCCCGTGCCCCCCTCCATGTCCCCACTGACTGTGGCCTCCCTCTCCAGCCATCCAGACGGCTATCCGGCTGCAGGCTGAGGGAAAGAAATCCCTGCACAAGGACCTGAAGCAGAAGCGACGGGAGCAGCGGGAGCAGCGGGACCAGCGCAAGGCAGCCAAGGAGGAGGAGACGCAGCGGCTCAAGCAGCTGCAGGAGGAGAAGGAGAGGAAGCTGCAGGAGCTGGAACTGCTCAAGGAGGCCCAGCGGCAGGCAGAGATCCTGCTGCAGGAAGAGGAGCAGCGGCGGAGGCAGCAGCACGAGGAGATGCAGAGGACCCTGGAGATCCAGCTGCGGGAAGCTGAGCAGGTGGGTGCACCCTGTGGAGAGTCCTGCCAGGGCTTCGTTGCTCATGGGGTAGGTGCTTCCTTCCCCTTCCCTTCCCTGGGGCAGCCTTTGGACAGGCCTGAGATTCCTGCAGAGCAGGAGATGGGGACAACCTGCCCCAAGGGTATGTAGGGGGGCAGTGAGAGACAAGTGCTGGTGCCAAGCTGGCCAGGGAGCCCATTTCTGACCTCACAGCCAGCACTGGCTCCAAATGATGCAGCCTGTCTCCTGAGCAGGGAAACAGCTTTGCTTTGGACCACTTGCCATGGGCTCTCCCTGTTTTGGGAGATGTCTGGCATCCACCCCGGGATGCAGGACTAAGGGGTTCTGGAGACAGTGGTGGTGGCCCAGCCAGCCGCCCACGCTGATGGCTCCTGTCCCCCCGGCAGGCTCGTGCCTCCATGCAGGCAGAGATGGTCCTGAAGGAGGCAGAGGCAGAGCGTCAGCGCAAGCGCATCCTGGAGCTGGAGGCCATGCAGGAGCGGCTCCAGGAGGCCCTGCAGCAGGAGGTGAAAGCTCGGCAGGATGAGGAAGCTGTGAGATACGCGCAGGCCAGGTAGGACTGGGGCATCCCTCCCCCTCCTCAACCAGCCCCGCTCCCAGGGCAGCAGCTGTGCATGGGAATGTGCTCCCTAGGGCAGCTCAATTCTCCTGGGTACTGAGGTGTGCTGGTGACTTCCCAGTATGCTGGCAGGGACAGGGGAAGCTGGTGGATGAAGTGGCAGAGGGACATTCTCACCTCTTGCTCTTCATTGTCAGGCTACTGGCTGAGGAAGAGGAGAAACTGAAGCAGCTGATGAAGCTGAAGGAGGAGCAAGAGGAATATATCATCAAAACTCAGCGGGAGAAGCAAGTCCTCAAGCAGGAGATGGAGAACAAAAACAAATGTCTGGAAGAGGCACAGAAGCAGCTGGAAGAAGTGAGAGTGAACAGACAACGGGTGGACCAAGACGTCATGGTGAGCATCACATCAGTGCCACATCCCTTCATGTGGTGAGCCCCAGGGGACTTCCCAGCCCTCCGTACTGGGGAGGACACAGCAGCTTTGGGAATCAAGGTGGCATTGCCTCGAGGGTTTCCGAGCTGTGCCATGTGCAGGCACGGGGTGCTGCAGTGGCTGAGACAGGACAAGCATGTCCTGCCCCGTGGAGACAGCTCTGGTGTCCAAAGCGATGTCAACAGTGGGAGTGTGTGGAGGGGTAAGAATTGAAGGAGGAGCAGGAGACCTAGAGGAGGGTGAGCTGGGTCTCCATCCCAGAGGGAACCTCCAATCCAGGCTTACTCAGGGAAGGGAAATCCATGCCCACAGTCCCGAGTTGGGGCAGTGGGGTGACCAGCTCACCCCTCTCCTCCATTCCCTCCCAGGCAGCCCAGCGGAAGCTGCGACAGGCCAGCACCAATGTCAAGCACTGGAACGTCCAGATGAACCGACTGATGCACCCCATCGGGCCGGGAGGTAGGAGACCAGCCAACCAGCCTCCCTTGAGCTGGGGCATGAGCCCAGTCCCCCACCCATCATCCCCTCTTTGGGAGCATCTGGGGGCCAGAAGGATCCTCATCTTTCAGAGAAGGAATGCCTCTTGCAAGGAGAGACTCCACAACCCTTTTTCTCAGCTGAATGGTCAGTTTGGACCCCAGGTAAACAACTCTCTTTTTCTGTCCACCCGCAGACAAGCGTACAAACGTGAGCGGAGGAGTCTTCGCTGGCTACCAGCCCCTCCTGTCCCAGAGAGATTCTTCCCTCAAACTCAAGCAGAAAGTGGAGGATAAAAGCAGTGGCCCCATGACAGACAACAGCGAGGAAAACGTGAGCAATGGTGGGAACAGTGGTGTTCTGCCGTCTCCAGATGTGGACACCATGGCCACAGAGCCCACCAAGTAGCCCAACAGGATGGCAGAGCCCAGCTGGGAATGGTAGGGCCCAGCTTGTCCCTCTGAGCAGACAGTTGGTGCGGCTATCTCTGGGTGAAGCCAAGTGTGGACCAGCACAGAGCCTACAGGGGACTGCATGAGGCAGAGATGCTCCCATTTCCATCAGTAAAGGGCTGCAGCCACCACGTGCCAGGAGGCTCAGGCAGCCCAACTCTGGGGAGAGGGCGGCAGGACCATCTCCTCTGGGCTGCTGGACTCAACTCCCTGCACTCTGGTTTCTACCCTGCCCTAAAAAAGAGGCACTGGTGGGTCAGGACTGCGTGGCTCAGGGCTGCAGTTTCCCCTTGGTTTCTACCACAACCCTTCTGCATCGCCTGCTGAACCCCAGGCTGTGGGGCCCTGCCAGGGATGCTTGGGCCAACGGAGCGTGACCTTCTCATCGCCCCCCCAGCACGGCCAGGGTGTCCTTAACTACCACTGTGTTCCCTGATGGTGGTTGTTAGTCCTAGAGTCACTTAGAATTAGCAGAAACCAACAAGCAATAAAGCTTTTGGAGCCGGTGGCCACAGACCTCCTGCCCTGCACACTGGTGGCCCTGCAGGCACCAGCCCTTTCTCCTGAGCATTGTGGGTTTTGGGTTCCCCCTATAGGAAAGGGCCCTTTGAAAGGAATCAGTGGAAAGTGGCTCCACCAGTAGATTTTGGGTTGGTCTGGAGGGCCAAGAGGGATGTAAAATAAAACAAAAAAAACCCCAATAGCATACACAATCATCAGAGTTAGTTTTCCCAAGCACCTCTGTTTAAATAGTCCCATCACCTGTGCCTTTGGGGTCTTTATTGTCCAGGGCACAGAGCCTCCGAGGGTCCCCCCGGAACAGGTCCTTGGAGGAGCTGTGCACCGACCCTGCGGATGAGCTGCAGTTCGTTGGGGAGATTACAATCTGTTTCCTCCCGGGCGCTCTGGGCGTTCTCTCTCGCACGGCACTGCCCCCTCCCACACCGTTTCACAGTTCTTTTCCATCGTGGGGAGCGGCCACTCCGCGGGGCAGGGACAAAGTGCTCTGTGTGCCCGGGGGGTGGGTGGGTGGCCCCGTGCCCGGTCCCACACAGCTGTGCTGACACACAGCAAGGGCAGGGGTGGTTTGGGGGCTGCAGGTCAAATTCAACACCTCTCCCCCCTTCCCAGTGCACTGGGTTGCAGCAGGATGGTCCTGAGCCCTGTGCATCTTCTGAGGTCCCTGCCTGTCCTGTGCCATCATGGCTGGATCACTTGGACACAGGATCCCTCTACTCTGCACATGTTTTCTGGCAGAGTGGGCCCTTCCCAGCTCGGCCCCAAGCTGCTCGGGCTCCACGTGCACGGGAGACTCATAAAATCATAGAATCAACAGGGTTGGAAAGGACCTCTGAGATCATCAAGTCCAACCCTTCATTTTTTTTTAAAATTTTTTTTTTTTTGGAAATCTAGTCTGGGTTTCCCCCCATTCCGTACTCTGGCCAAAATCCAGTCCGGGGTTTCCTCCACTCCATAATCTAGAAAAATCCAGTCCGGGTTTTTCCCCGGCACGAGAGGAAATCTCTCAGAGGGGCTTCCCTCCAAATAAGCCCTGAACGTGCCAGGAGGTTTCAGCCGGGAGAAAGGAGCTGTGGAAGAAAACTACCCTAAAAGTAGCCAGTTGGGATCATCAGGTTTTCCAGCCAAGAAAAACAAGGAGAGAGATGAAGGAATCGGGTTCCAATTAATAACGATTTGATGGGTGTAGGAATGATTTCTGTATGTTTACAGTCCCCGCGGCCCCCGGCTCGCGCCGCCCCCGCCCCCTCTCCCCGCGCTGCTTTGCCTCGGCCCGCCCTCCGGCGCTCGCTCTGAGCACGTGCGCCGCTCTGTGCGAAGCAGCGGTCCGCGGAGGTCGCAGAGGAAGACACCGCGGGAAGCGACCCGCGGGGACAGATGGCCAGCGCGAGACAGAGCCCGAGGGGACATATGTTCGGCCGCCCCCTCGGACACGCCCCGCCCCCTGCGCGCTCCCGCCCCGCGGACACGGCTCCGGACTGTATTAGCGGTGGCGGAGATGATGTGATGACGTCCACCGCCCTTCCGGACCGCCCCTGCCGGCACGACCCGCGGGCAGCGCCTACCAACTTCCCATGAGGCCCCGCGCCCACCGGGGGGCGCAGTGCCGGCGGTGCCCCGGCAGGGGGCTGTGCGGAGTCGGGGGCGGGGCCCGTTGCCGTGGTGTACGCGGGCGCGAGGCCGACCGGCGGCCGGCCGCGATTGGCCGCGGCGCGCGGGGGTGCGGTGGCGTCAAGGGGGCGCGCGGGTGACGCGCGGGGCGGGGGGGCGGCGGCGCGACCGCGGCTGCAGCGCGCGAGTGAAGCAGGGCCGGGGGCGTGAGGGGCAGGGGCTGGGACGAGGGCTGTGAGGGGACGGCGGGGCGTGAGGGGCAGGGGCTGGGACAGGGATTTGTGAGGGGGAACGGGGGGGTGAGGGGCCGGGGCTGGGACAGGGCTGTGAGGGGAAGGGGGGCGTGAGGGGCAGGGGCTTGGGAACAGGGCTGTGAGGGAGAACGGGGGGCGGTGAAGGGGCAGGGGCTTGGGACAGGGCTGTGAGGGGAACGGGGGGCCCCGTGAGGGGCAGGGGCTTGGGACGGGGCCAGCAGGGAGATGTGAGGAACAGGGGTTGGGGCAGAGGGGACGTTGGTGCGAGGAGCTGGGGCGCGGGGATGGCAGTGACTTGAGGGTTCAGGCTGTAGTTCCTGCTTGGGAAATCAGGGCAGACAGAGGATGGGACGTGGCCCACACGGGAGGAGGCTGAGGGGGACAGTGCCCATCTTCTGTCAGGGTGAGGTGGCAGAGGGGAATTGGGCTGGGGATTGAGGGTACCAGTGAGGGGCGCTGCTGGGGTCTGGGGCTGGAAGGAGGAGAAGCAAGAGGGTGAGGATGGTCAGTCAGCAGAGCATCTGGTGAGGGGTTGCTCAAGGAAGAAGGATCTGAGAGTTCTTTCCCATCCCTCATATTTCCATGTTCTGCTCCCGCTTTCCCTGAGATCCCAGATAAAGGACATGCTTTTTGGGAAGGAATCTATCTTTTGAGCCCCCACATGTTGGAAAAACCCCTGTGAACAGACTTGGGTGGGCAGAGAGGCAAGAAAGCTTTGGATGTGCTGTAGGGTCTGGACAACATCCCTCGTGGCAATACAGAGGGGTCTGAGCAGTGGCCACTCCTCAGTTGGAATCCCAGGGCAGGTTACAGTGTCGGTCTCTAAACCAGTGACCCATGGGTTGAGGCAGCCCGTGTCCCATTTCTCGTTTCTGCTCCACTCTCCTCTCCACAGCCCTCTCCATGCAAATCCCTTGCTGCCTTTGGCAGAGGATCCTCTTCTGCACAAACGTGCTCCAGGCTGTGCTGAGGTGGGAGTTTTCCTAGTGACTTACCATGTGTCAGCCAGGGACATCAGAGGAAGAGTCCAGCAGGGATGTGCTGGCAGGTTCCCTCCATGCCCTGCTGAGCTGGTGCAAGTGTTGCCTTGTGTGTGGTGTGATTGGGCATGTCCTGGCATTTAACTGTGAGCGGGGCAAGGTGAGCCAGTCATTTAGGTTTAATTCTCAGATCTCTGGCAGCAGCAGCAGCAGCAAAGCACTGGTCTGTGATGGGAGAGAGTTCAGGGTGTGATTTGTGCACTCCCTGTGTGTGATTCAGCCCTCGTTGACGGTGTCAAGGCTATGCTGATGGGCTTTACTGCAGGTGGAGGAAGCCAACTCCTGATGTGCGACTGGAGCTGGAATGACTTTATTATTGTTCCTCCTTAGGAAGGTTGAAGAGAAATTTTGTCAGGATTATTTAGAAAAACTGTCTTCCATGTTGGGAGAGAAAGGATGAGGAACCTGCTCTGGCTGTAATGCACTGCTGCAAAAGTGAAGCTCCCGAGGGCCATTTTATGGCCCCACTGAAGCAGAGGCTCCTGCCCCGCCTCTAAAGGAGAGCAGTTGCTGCCTGCAAGGGGAGCTGTGACTTTGACACCATTGACCACAAGAAGGGGCAGTCCTGATGAGAGTGATGCTCCAGTGTGAGGGACTGGGGTCATATTTCTGGATCTCACACTTGTGACCCCCCCTGGATGTACCTGATCTGCTTGGTGCTGTAGGGAACACCTGCCACACTCAGGCCAGTGTGCTGAGAGCCTTGGCTTTTGGGACAGGGGATTTGCATCCTTTTTTCATCCTCTCCTGAGCAGCTGCAGCTCCTGGTGCCGTGTCAGAGGCAGAAGGGCAGGCGACACCAGGGGCTCACTCTCAGCCCAGCACTTGCAGGTCTCTGCCGAGCTGCCCGTCCTGGTGGGGGCTGGTGACGCTGGTTTGTTGCTGGTGCTCGGCTGCTTCACAAGTCATCCCGTGTTGGGGGCAGCAATAGGAAACAGGGCTTTTCTATTGGGGTGGGAGGAGCAGCTAAGCCTGGGTAATGTCAAGGAGGGTATGTGGGTGCAAATAGCATCATGTTCACAATATCTTTGTTTAACGTTTTAGTCCAGTTAGTCTGCATAACTGTCTAAAAATAGGACATATTTTCTCTAAGTCCTCTAGTTCAAAGCCTCATAAGCCATTTTTTTCTAGCATTGGTCTCTTACTGTTGTTCTGATCCTGAAATTCGTATAAGGCAAAGTTATCAGGAAAACCAAGAAGAGCGAATGAACTCTGTCAAATCCTTAAGTTTCAGCCACCCGAGAGGGAAGTTCATTAAAGTTGCAGGAACTTTCTGGCAGCCTCCTGAAGGTGGATTAAGCAAGCTGAGTAAACAAGCCACCTTACGGCCACCACAGACCCTTTTCTAGCATCAGCTTCATGTATTGTCAGAAAAGCTCAGGGTCATCAGCCTCTAACTGCAGGTGACATAAGGCAAAGGTGACATCTCGATGCTCAAAGCCTGGTGAGGGGTTGGGGCTGTCTCTGCTGGGACATCCAGGGGTTTGCTCTACCTCCCAGTCCTGGGGCAGATGCTGTGACCGCCTGCGGTAGAGGGAGTGTGTGTTTAAATTTCAGAGCTGCTGCTGGACCCAGCCCAGTGCTCCCAGCGGCATAAATATCTGGCCTTCAGCACAGCCGTGGAAATCTGCGCTCTGTCCTCTTGCAGATTGCTCCAGGTTTTGGCTCTCCATGCTGACATGGTGACCGAGCGGTGGCTTTCGACAACAGGCAGACAGGGACAGCAGCTCCACAGAGGTAACCCTTTCCCTTCACGTGCAGGCGACTGACCAAGGCACTTACCTTATGTATGTTTCTGTAAACTTGGGACACGGAAGAGCCTGGGAAGAGCAGTTTGCTTTCAGCAAGTTTCACTTTCATCCAGGAGCTTAAACGTTCTTAAATTTCTTTGTAAATTTAAACTCTATACCTTATTTTTGTTTAGTTTCTGAATATGATCTTTATGAATATGATCTTAGAAGTACGTTGTGAGGACCGTGGTCTAATCCTGTTCTTCTCAGCTGGCTATTGCTTGTCAAAGCATAGTGACATAATATTTCATTGTTTCACTGATGATTATGACTGAAATTGGCTCCTGTTAGGTTGGGGAGGGCACATGAGATCCGGGGCCGCGTGTGGGTAACCAATCACGCACCGATCCGACACGCGTGGCACTGCTGACGTCTGCTGGTGCCGGACAGAGCCGAGCAGGTCACGGCAGAGCCAGGGTAGGGGTTTGGAGGAGCTGGTCGGTGGGATCGGGCAGGGCACCCTCCTGCCTGCAGACCTCT